AAGGATCTAGCTCGGGGTGGGCAAACTTTTTGGCCCGAGGGCCACATTGGGGTTGCAAAACTGTACAGAGGGCTGGGTAGGGAAGGCTGTGCCTCCCCAAACAGCCTGGCCCCCAATCCCTATCCTCCCCCACACACACTTCCCACCCCCTGACTGCCCCCTCAGAACCCCCAACCCATCCAACCCCCCTGCTCCTTGTCCCCTGACCGCCCCCTCCCGGGACCCCTGCCCCTAACTGCCCCCTGGGACCCCACCCCCTTATCTAACCCCCCGATCCCTGTCCCCTGACTGTCCCCCCTGACTCCTATCCACACCCCTGCCCCCTGACAGGCTCCCTGGGACTCCCACCCCCTATCCAACCCTCCCTGCCATCTTATTGCCCCCACCCCTATCCACACCCCCACCTCCTGACAGGCCCCCTGGGACTCCCACTCCCAACCCTCCCTGCTCCCCGTCCCCTGACTGCCTCCCCGAACCTCCGCCCCATCCAACCACCTTCTGCTCCCTGACTGCCCCCCGCCCCCTTACCATGCTGTTCAGAGCAGCAGGAGTGCGTCGCTGCGGGGGAGGGGCCAAGGGCAAGCTGTGGGGGAGGGGGCGGGAACTCGGGGCCGGGCAGGATGGTCCCGTGGGCCGGATGTTGCTCGTGGGCTGTAGTTTGCCCACCTCTGATGCACCTGCTGTTGTTCAGACTCTTTTTCTCTAGATCTAGCTGCAGGGATTTCATCAGGTCTGTTACCTGCTGGGCTGGTATTAGGGATGTCTGAAGAGGCACAACACATCTGTTGACTTCAATAGCGCATCAGTAGAATATGAAGGTGCAGAAGTGAAATTTGTGAGAGTGCAAGAGGGCTTGTTTAATCTGCACAGCAATCATTTTCTGCATCAGTTGTTCATCTCTTAGATAGCATGTTGTCACACAATCATGCACTCTTCATTCTGCATTGGAAAAAGCCACTCTGTAGTTCAGTATGATGTGCTTAGGAAATCAAATCTTTTGTTGAATACTTGTGAATATATTTGCTTTTAGGGATGAATTAGCTTGTCCAGAAGGGGAAAAGCTGGGGATTTTTACTTAGACCTAATTGTGGACTCAGGTTTACATGGTGGATCTCTGAAGTTTGGGTAAACTCATTTAAGGAGCTTCTAGCACCTTTGCATTAAACTGTGAATGCACTTGTTTTCCGCCCTCATCCTAAAAGAATCGTGTTCATATGTGTGTTTGTGTCCTTCTGCATGGTGCATGTGAATGTATGTGTGGTTAGCAAAAAGTGGGCCAATTATCCAAGTGTCTGTTCTGCTTGTCCTATAGACTGAAACAAGTTGATCTGATGCAAATTTATTGAACATACTTTATTTCAGACCTTTTGCTGAAATAACCCACTTTCTTGAGCCTCTTCAAAAATCCAGTCGAAGAGGAGATGCCTGGCTACCTTAATTTTTACACACTTTTAAGATACATTAGAAATTAAAAGGGAAAATCCCAGCAATCAAAATAAGCAACCATCATTGGTGCATGTTACTTAGCTACCTGGTGATGTGCCTTAGGTACAGGGTATGAGAAAGAGGGGAATGTTTAAAATGTCTTTATATTTTCTTATTGAAGATATATTGTCTAAACTTAGATATTTGATGTTTCATCCAAAATTTACTTAATTATTCCTTTAATGCTAATCTGTTACTGTACTATTCTGATCCAGGTTGTACTGTCAGATTTGCATAAAGATCCAGATTTGTGGGGAGGGGTGTAAAATAAATATATAATCAAACCCATATTAAAAAATGGAGTCGATCATAAATGTTTGAGAGAAATGTGGTCATGATGAAAACCCCTGCTCACATCCAGATCCAAGGACAATCAAAAGACAAAATGAAGGTATAAATGTGATTGCTTATATAGAGGTTCTCGACTAGATATGACAATGAATGATATTTTAGAAGCAGTTGATAGATCCTTGAAAACTTTTCACATACCTTCTCTTCAAGAAGGACAGACTCAGACTCTAAAATTATTCCAACAAGGAGAAAAAGAGCTCCACATGAGACTAGCGTATAGTCCATTCTCCCAAATTCCATATCCTCACTCAGTCCATTGAATAGACGAGGGCATTGAGCCTTACAAAGACTCCACAGTCTTCAGTTTTGAAGCAGCTTTGTTCTCCCACTTTTTTTGTTTGTTTGGTTTTTAGTCACAACATTCTGATCTTTCTCAACAATGAATATGCCTTTCAGTTCAAAGTCTGGAATAAATCTGTGGAGGTGTAACCATTTTTAAGATTCAGAAAAGCCAGGGTAGTGAGTAATAAATATATCAGTTGATTCCTTGCTGTACATGTGCTGTGGCCAGACCCACTGTACAAGCAAAGGGGCTTCACCCTTTTTTGTGTTCTCACTGATAGGTAGATATCTGGGTCCTTTTCATGGGGAAGAGATCTAAAAGCTACAGCTATCTGATCTGCATTTCCCTTACTACTGTTGCTTCTGCATGGGTTTGATCCTTTCTCTCTTCAAGAACTGTAAGTTAAAATGCAGCAGGAAGGATAGCTGTCACACATAGATGATATAGGCATTTCAGTGGCAGTACCATATTCAGTCCTGTACCATATTAGGATGCTTAAATCTAGTGCTGCCCCCATTTGTCACTTTATCCCTATACCTCAGCATCTTTGCTCAGTAAGTTATGGGTGCATTGAAAACATCCAGAGATTTGCTGCTGCATTTACACTTGCAGCAAGTGAATGAATGACCTAAACCATTCATCTTTATTGCATCAAGGCCTTGGAAGCTCGAATAAACTGAACTGCATTTGCAAAATTTGTTAATACCAGCAGTGCACAAACTTTGTACTGCAAAATAAAAGCCCCAAGGTGTGGTAGGCATAGTTTGACATCTATGTTTTAAAATCCCATCTCTAAAACACAGTCTTTCCTTTGAAATAATCCATATTATTTTTTGTTTCTGGGAGAGATTTAGCCAGACCAGGAAGGGCAGGATAGAGAACTTTAACAGGCTGGTTTTAGTTACAAAAATACAAAGCCTGCTTTTAAGAGATGTGCTGAGCACCTCCAATTCTAATTAAACTAATGGGAGCTGACTGCTCAGTACCTTTGAAAATCAAGCCAATGCTACGTTCCCCATCCCCATGCTCATCCTTAACCTATTGATTTGCACAGTCTACCACAATACGGATTGAAGTTTTGAACATGCATTCAGATTCCCAGAGAATGAATGAAAGGTATAAGTCATTCGTTATTATTGTCTCAAAGCTTTAGTATGTCATGCCATTGGTAAATGACTAGTAATTAATCATTCTAATCTATTAGAATTTCCATTAAGAGAGAAACTAGATCTTTGCCAAAACAATATTTGATGCCAAAGGCACTTGTTATTGGAAATACTCCTTTCTATTGTTGTTTTCAATAAACAAGGCACCTCCTTTAGCTGTCAGTGTGGAAAGTAGTGTGTAAATTTCCCACATGCCCATATTTGATTTATATGCAAATTCTGAATTCATCTACTCTTTCCCCCTAATGTGACTTTATTCAGTTTTTACCCCTTTGGTGCTAATTTAGGATTTCTTACATAGAAGCAAGCTCATTGCCAGCAAAGGAAAAATCAATGGCTGCAAACACCCAGGGGTTAGTTATTTTAGTGTTCATGTTGAGTATGCATGGTGGCAGCTGCATAGAATCTCCATTACAGAACATGCAGTGCATGATTGGAGCAAATATCTTGGTACTTTAATCCCTGCAACCCTCCCGTTTCTTCTAATTATATGACTCTCCTGAATTAATTGCTGTGGGTTTGCATCCCTGAGTTTCACTCTGAATTTAATTTAAACCCAAAACTCAACCTGAACTGCCGTTTTCTCTGATTCCAGATTGAATTCAGAATTTCTCGTGGGTTCGTTCTGAAACTATAATTTACACTAGTCTTGCTTGTAAGTGGGCTTACCCATGCTGAAAGGTTCACAAATCACCCAAGCCAAATTGTATCCTCCTACAGATGTGCCTATGTGGGGGAGGCGCTGGAAATTCCCTGAGGTGAATGTCAAAGGCCCCAATTCAGCAAAGCACTAAAGCATATTCCTATTCAATGTCTTCACTAGGACTTAAATATGTGCTTAAGGTTTTGCTGAATCAGGGCTAGAGTTTCTTTGAAATATTCCCAGTATTCCCACAGATCTCCAAGATCCAAAAGGAAAAGACTCCCCATTGTCATGGAAGCTTGGACCCCTGCATTGTTGCTCTAGGGGTAACCAACCTCTGTTGGCCATGTTCCTATGAGAGCCTGGCTGCAGCTGGGCCAGCAAACAGTGCCTGTACAAACCTCCATCTCAGAAAGGCATGTAGGTATTTAGTCTATGTGAACGCTGCTTGGAGCAACATTTAACTTAGACACAGATATCTGCTACCTATAGAGGAGAGAATGTGGCAGACAGCAACAGCTCGGTTTGGGTGAAGGGAAGAGGGAAGAAAACTGCAGAGCCAGTGCTGCCTTGGAATAGATGCAGAGGTTTGTGCTTCCCATCGGGCACAAAAGCGAAAAGAAGGCCTTGGGCCTCATCCCTTCCAAAAAAACCCGGTGCCAAACGATTTACTGTAAATTGTGGGGCGATGGAGTGTTTTGGTTAAAACATCACCCAGCTCTCTTTTGTAGAACACAGAAGTGTACTGCACAAACTGTCATGCAAAGACTGCCTTATTCATAAAGCATCAAAGTTCCTTCGGATGTGTGCCACTGCTTTCACGTGCTGTTCATAGTAAAGAACTTAAATTATTGTGGTTATACAGAGAGTAAATGACCATCTGTGAACACATTCAGTCCCATTCTGAACACCCAGGGGACTCTTACTGCTCACAAATAAAAGCAAAATGCCAGACTTGACTTTTTATTTTCAGTAAATGATTCTTTATTCCCCCACCTCTGGTACAACTGGCTTTGAGTAATTGTAATGTTTTATATGCACATAACAAGTGAAAGTTTTCCCTCTGTTGCAGGCTCTTCTAGGGGACCCAGCCCTTTGACGATGGGGGCCCAGGACACCCTCCCTGTAGCAGCAGCATTCACAGAAACTGTTAATGCATATTTCAAAGGAGCAGATCCTAACAAGTAGGTACCCCCACCCAGTGGAATAGTCAACTTCAGGTACAAATCTTTTCAATGTAATGTTTGGGTCATTAGTCGTTATTTCCAGAGGTCTCCCAGGGCATGAGTCAACCGAAACATCTAGCAGGGCTTCAAACGCCTCTGGATGTGTGTAAGTCCCGTCAATGTTAAAGGAAATTATAGGTGTGAATCAAAGGATAAGACCTCCTTTATTGAGTGTTCTCTGTAAAACGTATCCGCTATTGTGAACACATCTTAGTGTTCAAACCCACTAGTTAGCGTGTGTTTTTTTTTTTAAAGGTGGGTGAAGAGAGTAAAAAACTCAGTGCAAGCCATGCATAGCAGAGTGGAGTGGTGTCCTGATCTGAGCACAGCACTAAGAGCCAGGGACTCCTGAAGAGTGCCAGCACTGTCTCAATAACATGGTTGACTCTGACACTGACTCGCTGTGGGGCCTTGGGAAAATCACTCAGCCTCTCGTTCAGTCATTTTCCACACCTGTAAAGTGAGGAATACGTTTGCCTGCCTGCCTGCTTTACAGGGTGTTCTGACAATTCAGTCTGGGTAGCATTTTAAAGGTCACGTTTTATGTAAGAATCTTGAGTGTGCGCTGCAGGTGCTCATCACCTGTCGAAATCAGATTGTAAAGTTCTCCAGGTAGATAGGTGCTAGGTAGAGCTGTACTCAGATAGCCACGTTCAAAAAAGGATTTGGGTCTGGATGTGTCTGAATCTTCCCCAAAATCAAAGGGCATTCAGCTCTGGGGTTATATTTTGTGCCCATCTCTAGCTGAAAGTATTCCCATAAAACAGAAACACCCAGTTCTTGAATAATGATTTTATTGGCTAGACAGGAGTTGCCAAAGTTAAAAGGTCTCGGGTAAAATCCTATTTTAGCAAAACTATTGATTTCAATGGGGCCAGGATGTCACCCCTAGTATCTGTGTCTAGAATAGATTTTCCACTGATAATGGAGATTTTATACAGCCTGTCTATCCTGTAGACCGAAATAGACCATCTTGTACTGTTGCTCACACTGTGAGATGTGTCTGCTATTGCTTTCGTTTCCCCAAAGGTAGTGCATAACTTTTCTTAAGTTTAATGGGAAATCTTCTACTATTCCTGAAAACCTGAGGAGGTATCTCTCTTCTTTATTGTGGGCAGTGAATTCAAAATCAATTTCAGTTTCTCCTGTGCCTAACTCTTTACTGATGTTTCTTATCGCAGTGGTTCTCAACCAGGTGTCCGGGGCCCCCTAGGGGGCCGCGAGCAGGTTCCAGGCGGTCCACCAAGCAGGACCAGTTTTAGACTCACTGGGGCCCAGGGCAGAAAGCCTAAGCCCTGCCGCACAGGGCTGAAGCCCAGGGCCGAAGCAGAAGCCTGAGAAACTTAGCTTCATGGGGGTCCCTGTGGCGTGGGCCCCCAGGCAATTGCCTTGGTTGCTACCCGTTAACGCTGGCCCTGGCTTTTATATGCAGGAAACAGTTGTTGTGGCACAGGTGGGCCATGGAGTTTTATAGCATGTTGGCAGGGGGGGCCTCAGAAAGAGAGAGGTTGAGAACCCCTATCTTATCGGGTTCTCATTTGGCCCTTTGTCTGTTTCCACCAGACAGGTAAGAGGTGGGAGCTCCTGGTATATAATGCTTTTTAAAGGGAAAAGCTCTTGAAGGACATCAAATGTGATTCTTTAGGAGAAGAGAGGGTCAGGCTAAATGGTTGCTCTTAGCTTCTGTGATTCAAGTCTGGTTTTTCAGCACAAATGAACTCTGGCGGGGTGGGGGTGGAGAACGAAAACGAACACTACAGGAAAGAGAAAAGAACAGCAAAAGATAGGAAAACTTAGCTTCTGTCTCTGTAGCTCACAATTTAATTTCAGGGAAACTGCAGGTGCAACTCATGGCACACAACCTTATTAGCCACTCTGTGTCCAGCCAAGCTTCTGCTGCAATCAGGCTGGTAAGACATTGTGTATAGCCAGTCTCCCTCATCACAGCAAAGCGTCGCATGGTTAGACAGAAGGATAAAAAAGACAGGGGAATAAGGATGAGCTAGAAATGTATATGGTCATAGAGGCAGTGATGTAATCTGGTCCCCTCATCTCATGCGATACTGCCCAAACATCTTTCCGAATCAGGGAAATGACTTACCAGTTATGGTGCTCCAGGTCCTGTCATGCTGGTCAGTGTGGTAGTACTAATGTTCCAGCACTTTGCCATTCTCAGAGCTCACTGCAATGCTCATGTGTGTACGTTGCCAAATGTTCCTCAAAAAATAAACGTGCAAAAGGGGCAGAATTGCTACCCTACCACATCAAAACTACCCAATCAAAACAGGCTTCTGATGGTCCCTGAATGGATGGTTCCTCTCATTTTAAGAAGGTTCTGGTCTGTTATGACTATTTCGTAGGCTCACCAGAAGCCTTGAAAACCCCTTCATCAACAATTCTTTTGGCTCTAACAAGCTTAGTTTAACACTTCTCTGTTTTGTGATAGTTTAACAACAATTCTAAATAATATATTTGCAAGTAAATATTACCTTTCTTCCACCTTTCACCCACGTTGAGCAATTTAAAAATTCAACCTGGAATAGAGTTTAATGCAACAGGTATAATTGAGTAGTTTTAAATTAATTATTTAATTGTTTTATCAATATCATTTATGTGGGCTAATTTTAATGTACTTATATACTATGCACATTAAATATGCAACACTGGTTATAAAAGATCTTACAAATATGAGGGAAATACTTTTCTCTTAAGGGCTATTCATAGATTAGAGATGCACAGATAGTTAACAGGTTTGATTTGCTGATGGTAAAATAATTACCAGTTTTCTCATGCCCACAAGTAACTAGAGAAAAGTTCTGTTTCTGTGTGTCAGGCTTATCTGTTTTATGGCCTGAAAAATATTTGTAATTGACATCTATTTCTGTTCATCAAGGAATTAATTTTAAATGTAGTTACAGAGGGGGACCAGAAACTGAGTCTGTAGAGTTTATTGTGGGAGTAATATACCTATAATCTGCAATTGTTCTCTCCCGCCCTACTTTCTGGATATTGCATTCTGAAAATCTGACCTGATGCTAGCTAGTGTGGCTATACTAACCTATTATCCCTCCTACACAAGTACACTGGGCCAAATTCTGTTCTCATTTCCACTGGCATAAATCCAGCATAACAACTGAACTTTCCATGAAAGTGATTTCTTGTTCTTCAAAGCCCTGCAGGCATTCAGAAACCAAGATTTACTTTGTCTATACTTCCTGCAACCATAGAGAACTACAAAGAAATGCAAAAAGAAAAGGAGTACTTGTGGCACCTTAGAGACTAACCAATTTATTTGAGCATAAGCTTTCGTGAGCTACAGCTCACTTCATCGGATGCTGTAGCTCACGAAAGCTTATGCTCAAATAAATTGGTTAGTCTCTAAGGTGCCACAAGTACTCCTTTTCTTTTTGCGAATACAGACGAACACGGCTGTTACTCTGAAACCTACAAAGAAATGGATGGACTCAAGGCCTGTCTTTATACTTGGTGATTATGGTTGATTTGCTCAGGATAGTGGGTGAGTGTCTGAGAGAAAGGTGATGTATTTAGGTTTTTTTTTTTAGCTTTGGTCTGTATTTTCTGATTTTTGTGTTTGTTTGAACCTTATTTGCCCTTATCAGCTTTAAGTGCTTGCAATGAAGTTTTGTATGTTTGAGATTTATGAATTAAGCTGAGTATTATTCTGAAGTGCTTTGCCAAGGAAGGTATCACATATCATCATTCCCATTTTACAAATGGGGAAGTGGAGGCATAAAGTGGTGAAGTGACTTGCCCAGGTTTCCTGATTTCCAGTCCTGTGGACTTGTTACCTCCCTCAGCATGTAGCTGATAGACACAAACTAATACCACTAGAAGACCATTTCACTCATCAGTCCTTCCTTTGATACAGCAGACACAGTACTGTACTAAAGGACATCTCCTTGCCAGAATTTCCTTAGATGTTGTTTGCCACTCACTGAAGAGACGGGGATTGCCCTATTTATGTTAGTAATCAATGCCCTCAACAATTTTCCTGCAAACATTAAATATATATGTATGTATGTATCTCCTTCAGTGAGCGTAGATTCTCAGCCCTGAGTTTAGAGTCAGGGCAGCTGAGAATGAGTGGCAAGATTCTGGGCCAAATGGGGGTTGAAACAGCCTGTGGCATAACCGTACACTACCAGATCGGCAGGCAGTGATCGATCCAGCAGAAGTTGATTTATCGCGTCTAGTCTAGACACGATAAATCAACCCCCGAGCTCTCTCCCGTCGACTCCTGTACTCCAGCGCCGCAAGAGGTGCAGGCAGAGTCGACAGGGGAGCAGCAGCAGTCAACTCACCGTAGTGAAGACACCATGGTGAGTAGGTCTAAGTACTTCGACTTCAGCTACATTATTCACGTAGCTGAAGTTGCGTAACTTAGATCGATGCCCCCCCCCTCTCCCCAGGGTAGACCAGGCCTTAGAACAGCCTAACGGTGCCACATAGACCATTGCATTAGGGGGATGCAATGGTCCTATTTCACTAGGAGGGTGATGAAGCACTGGAATGGGTTACCTAGGGAGGTGGTGGAATCTCCATCCTTTGAGGTTTTTAAGGCACGGCTTGACAAAGCCCTGGCTGGGATGATTTAGTTGGTGTTGGTCCTGCTTTGAGCAGGGGGTTGGACTAGACCTCCTGAGGTCTCTTCCAACCCTAATATTCTATGATTCTATGATTGCACAACTAGAAACTGACAGCATACCATGTACCCCCCTCGCTGCCCCCCTCCCCCCGTACAAGCAGGGACACTGAGATCCAGCACAGACACTGAAAGTTGGCTGCTTCTACGGCCACAAGACAGCAGTCAATATGGCTGGATCAGGACCTGCAATGAAATTACAGCTCAGTTCCAGTTGCCTGGGTCAGAGAGCAGAAAGCTAGGGCTGTCCCAGGCAAAACTGGGCTGTTGGCAACTGTTCAATTTAAGATGGTTGATTTTGTTTTTCTGTTCTGAAGAGAAAAGCAGATTGTTTCTAGAAGCAAGTCCGGAGGAGTTCACAGAAATATCACATTTTCTATTTGTTGCCCAAATACCAGAATTTTTCTCTATTCAGACTAATGCTGTTTTAGGAAGAAGATGATTTTCTTTCCAGTATAATAGGGAAGGAATGAAATGTCACCATCTCCATCATGCCTAGCTTGATCCAGATGATTCACTTCCCAGGCTATATTTTAAGCTGCTTTCTTTCTTCTCTCCCTTTGTCTCCTTTGATTTGATTTTGAAGATGTATAGTGAAGATAACTGGAGAAATGGTGCTGTCGTTTCCTGCAGGAATTACCAGACATTTTGCCAATAATCCAGCCCCATCTGTTCTAACCTTCCGTGTAATAAATTACAACAGGTTAGAACACGTCCTGCCAAATCCACAACTTCTCTGCTGGTAAATATAATTTTACAAAAACTTTGTAGAGACTTATAAGAAATGTTACTCTGTAGCCACGTTGGAAGAAACATTTCAAGGGAATAAAATATTGTGATCCTATGGAGGTTTAAACCTTGACCTGCAGAATTGTTCACAAAACCATCTCTCTCAATATTATTGAGAATAAGGCTGAATAGGATGCAGTCAATTTTAAAATATTTTAGCTTGAATTTTTTAGTTGTTCGAATAATGCCTAAGATCAATGAGTCCTCCATTTCTTGTTCATTTGCTTTGTGCATTTGACAACACTTAGTTGATAGTCAGTTTGGCAATTTATCCTGGATAGTATGGATCAGATCCTGAGATCTTGGCAAACTGCAGTCTATGCAGGATCCAGCCACCTCCCTGCTTCCCTAATACTGGGGCTGGCTACCAACCAAACTACCCCTCCCCGCCCACCCAGGTTTCATTTAGAAGAGCCTCTACACAATATTGTGGATGTTCAACCAATTTAGTGCTATTGGTTGGAGACTGCATATGGATGAAGCACTGTGATACTGCATTAGGCTTTCACCACTGGTTATGGGTTCAAAACTTTAAAGTAAATTCAGGGGTCAATTATTAAAAGCACCTAGATGCCTAACTCCCATAGAAATCAAAGGGGGATTAGGAACCTAGGTGCTTCTGAAAATCCCACTAGGTGCCTTTCTGCATTAACTACCTAAGTGACTTACTATGAGACTTTTATGTTCCTAAGCACTTAAGTCACTTTTGAAAATGGAACGTGGGTTCCTAAGTCACTTGGGTACTTTTGAAACTGTTACCCTCCATCTCAGCTCTGGCAATGCTGCAGTTCTCTCAGGCACTAAATTCACTTTGGATATGTGTCCACTTTGAGCTGGGGATGTAATTCCCAGCTCAAAGAGACATACTCCCACTAACTCTCATCCAAGCTAGTGCGCTAAAAATAGAATGTAGCCTTGGCAGTGCAAGCTGCAGGACAGGCTAGCCACCCCAAAGACATACCCGTCCGACAGCTGAGTAGAAAATTTCAAAAGAGCTTTCTCTTGCTATGTCCAGCTCTAGCCAGTGCTTATTAGGCCCTTGTTCTCAAGAGAAATTAATTTACAAAGTTATATATACAGAATACATCTGTGGAGCTGTTTACAGTTGAGGCCAAGGTAGAGTTTTCATGAAGTATTTCAAAAAACGGAAGAACGGCATTGTTTTGTAAGTGTAGAATTAAATCCTGTTATACAGCATGCCCAAGATTATGTCCTCTGATCATTTTGAGAAGAACTTCCTTTTACAGATTCTGTTTATGAAAATAGCTAATCCTTTACCTTTTGGTAAACCCACAGTGACAGTACACAAACTGATGTCAACACAAAGGAATTCTGGGTAAACATGCCAAATCTGATGACACATCTAAAAAAAGTGTCTGAACAGAAACCACAAGCAACATATTACAACGTGGACATGCTCAAATACCAGGTAAACTCTCTTGCAAAGTAAAATTTTTCAAAAATGCAATTAACATTGTAGCATTAATAGAACCTGTCTCTAGTACAGAAAAGTAAATTGCCTGAAATAGTCTGCTCTTTAGTACAGGAATTACAAGAAGTTTTGCACAGGTGTAGCCTTCTCAATACCACTGGAATGGGTGTGACTTGAGTCCCTTACAAAAACTTACTGGGGAAGTGCAGGGAGTTCTCTGCTCTAAAATCAACAACGATTTTATATCCATAGATGCAGATTTCTCCCTCTATCCCTGTGAAAACTAAATATTGTTTTTCTGTCATTTCTAAGGTATCTGCCCAGGGTATTCAGTCTACTCCATTAAACCTTGCAGTCAGCTGGCGGTGTGAATCTACAAGCACTGACCTTCGTATTGACTACAAATATAATACAGAGGCAATGACTACACCAGTAGCTCTAAACAATGTCCAGTTCCTAGTTCCCATAGATGGAGGAGTAACGAAACTTCAAGCTGTGCTTCCACCTGCTGTTTGGTATGAAAGTCTAGTTCAACAAAGCCATTCCCCGTTGTTTGCCATCCCTGTCACTTTCGTGATTATAACAGGACTTCATCCCCAGTAGGTATAGAGACATGCTGATATTTATAAGGCTCTAGCTGAGGCATGCAGGATCACAATGGGTATGCTAGACATTAGAATCTACTTTTTGTAGTAAAGGAAGACATGAAATGCTACTCTGATTTTTTCTGTCATTTTCACAAATGAATGGTCTGATCTTAACCAGCATGCATTAAGGTGAAAGTCACTTCAGTAATCTTAATATTAATGATGCTTAGTACTTAGAGTGCTTTTCATCATAGAACTCAAAGCACTTTACAATCATGGGTAGGCATTATTGTCCATATCCTGCAGATAGGGGAACTGCTGCATAGAATTTGTGGTTTGCTCAGGGTCACGGAGTAAGTCATTGGCAGAGTTGGGGCTAGAACTCAGGTCTTCAGATTTTTCAGGTCTGGTCCCTATCCACTTCACCAGACTGCCTTCTATTAGTTTATTATTAGTATAACTTTTTGCATTTATCTGAATTAACTCAGCAGCTAACACTGTCCATGTGTGACAGCAACAGATAACTGGCAGAATGGCACTTACATTTGTTTTGGTCCCAAACCTAAAGCAAAACTAATGCAGTACGATCTCTTGAGACTCCTAACCAGGAGGAAGCATTTTCAAAAAATTTGCACTGTTCCCACTACCTATTCTAGAATGCAAATGACTCAGAAGGGCTCTTTCATTACCTCCATTGTCTTCTACAGTTACACTATTTTGTTCCTTTTTTTTAGGAATGCTGAACAGCAAAGAATATTGTGGAAGATTCCTGATATCTCGCAAAAATCAGAAAATGGAGGTAATAATGCAAGTTTACATTTAATTGATCTCATTTAATTGTTTTTAATTAGAGACATTGACGAGTTTATCTTTGTGCACATCCATCAACAAATCAATTCCTGATGAAACTTGACATTATAGGGTACTGTTCACAGCACAGGAGCAAATTAGCTATGTAAAGTGTGAACAAGATCAGCGTGACTGGTCACACATTTTCCTGCCAAGTTTAGAAGTGTAAAGGGAGATGTGTAGTGGTTTGGGCTTTAATTTCATCAAAGAAAAACCAGTTGATTTCTACAATTGAGTGTCTTCAGCCCCATGGAGGTCCTACAAGTCTCTCTCAAAGATTGAGTAATCCCCATTATTTTCCCCCATAACATTTTCTATTCTCAAGGTATCACCTTGGGCCAACTGCCCTTCAGCATGTCATATTGCACATACTAGGAATCCAGCACACGTGCATGTACTTTCTATTTGGTGTGACTCCTGTAGTTTATTTGTTATCTGATTTACATCTCTAAAGTCTGAAAAGATAACAGTCTGCTGAAGTCTGATTTGATGAAACGCTCACATTCTTATCAATGTACATTTGCTGCCATTTATATAACTTGGGGAACCAGATTTATTTCCGAGCACTTTTGGAATAAAGAATGTTATTTACTATTCCATTCACTTGGATTCCATGCTAAGAGCCATTCCAGAAGCATTGTATGTGTTACTCTCTTGTAATGATCTTCTGAAATTCTTAATCCGAAGGTGTGGGTTCTTTGCTGGCAAGATTCCAGCTTTCTGAAGGACCAAGCAAACCTTCGCCATTGGTAGTGCAGTTTACGAGTGAAGGGAGCACTCTCTCCAGCTGTGATATTGAACTTGTTGGGGCAGGATACCGGTTTTCACTCATTAAAAAGAGATTTGCAGCAGGTAAGCATGTCACGAACCCCTTCTCCTCAATTGGGTGGGGACTGTATCAGTAGGAGTAACAGGTGCTGGCCACTTGCCATACATTTATCCCTGCAGTGAAGAAAGAGTTTGCAAGATAAGGCACTAAGAAGAGGGGATAACTCCTGTACATAGGGCTCTGATAAAAGGTATCTATATAAAATACTTATTGTTTTACCAAAAAAAAAACTATGTTTTGTGCCTTTAGCAACAAGAGTTCACACATGCACAAAGTACAGTACAATCTACACTAGGGACCATCCCCAAAAGCTACCCCTTGTCTTTAGAGGCTGCTTTAAAGTTTCATGAAGATTTCTAGAACCATTTTGTTCAGGGTTTAATTAATCACCTCTTCCAAGTGATTGATTTTTGTTGGTCCTTTGGATGACTACTTAAGACTGGTTTTACTGTATCTTCCAAAGGTCTGTTTAACTGGACATGAGCTATTAGAAATTAAACCTTGAAGAGACATCACTGCTTTGCCAACTGAGTGAGAGGCAGATATTGTTCTGTAAAACTGCTAATATATCCTGCTAAAATTCTTCAGCGTTTTGCTCTTGGTACATATGTTACTGACTCTCAAAGGCATGAAGGACAAGATTGGAAGGGGATGCATGTGTGCGAGCGCCTGTGAGGTATAAAATTTTGATGGCTCCAGGAGGGGCACGTTCTGTGCCCCGGCCACAGCCCTTGGAGTTCTGCCCCCTCATTGATTATTGGGGGAGGGGCATGCCTCTGCTTGCCCCCTCCTTGTGCATGCCTCTATGTGCATGTATGTCTGTGTCCATGTCTGCCCATCCAGGGAGCAGACTTCATGCATGTACATATTAAAAAACAATGATTGAGTAGTTTTCACTATTGTTGCCTACACCTAGTGTAAGTAAATTCTGGCCTAATGTTTTAATTCACTCTTGCAGGCACAAGGGGGAGGGTTCATCCCTAAGAGAGGCAAGCAGTGGTATCACCACCGGTCTGCATTGGGATTTACGCCAGGGACAGCTGTTTTAAGTGCCATCAAGGGATCTATAGGCGTTTCACTGGCAGAATCTTCACAGGACATGTATTGAATAAGCACAGCTCCCAGCCAGGCTGGCCCAACCCCACTTCTTCCATGTTTGTGAATAACATTGTTTGGGTTCAGGCCCCTTGTTGGAGTGGAGGGGGAAGGTAATGTGCCACTGAACCCCTGCTCTCAGTGGACGTCCTGCATCTGGGGTTGCAGGGCCTGGGCTCCTCTAGGACAGAGAGAATGAGCACCTGTGTATGAAATGTGGCATTTGCTAAATGGGTGAGACAGATGCATATTCAAAAAACACAATCGGGGTGTGATTTTGCAGTGACCAGTGTAAAACCAGAACTATGTCACTGTGGAACCAGGGTGAGATCAAGTATCACTGTTTAACTTTGCTATGGATCTAGTTACAAAATAGACGGGGGAAATCATACGCTCAGTAACCTGTTGTTTTAACATATTCTATTTATAGGAAAATACTTGGCTGATAACTAATGGAAGCTTATGCAAGTATATGGAAAATCCATATAACCACGGACTGCTGTGTGGAACAGGTTTGAATTACGGTTTAAGGGAAATGAACTAAATTCTGCACTTGGGGCACTTCTGTTGGAAGTGTCAGCGACTTTCAGCATTTTTTCCTGAGAAGACCACTGTCTTGACCAGTCCTACAGTATTTACTTCTAGATGTAACATTGTTAATGGTTTTAAAATGTAATTATTGTATTTGTAAATTGTACTCATTCCAGTAAGGCTGTATTTTGGCAGTTAGACACTTGAGTTTTAGAATTTTACCATTCATGAAATGGATGTAATTTAAACTGTGGTATACAAATTTAATAGTAGTACTGTTGAATGGCACAATGCTTACAGAGGTAGATTACATTTTGTCAATATATATACGATTTAAATACAATACTGGTAGCTGTTAAAAAGGGGGTGCCTCATGAAAAAAGAGAGTTGAGTAGAACCTGCAAACTGATTTACTTTTTCTTCAGTCCTTAGTATGTCTTATAATAGTGGTAAATAAAAGGTCTATCTTCAATTGTTTAGCTGGTTGAACTCCAAAAGAATATTTTAATAAATGCAGAGGTTTTAACTTATTTTCCCCCCTTCCCTCCCAAAAACCCAACCAACCAAAATACAAAAACCGAATGTCCATATTTCTTAAAATACTTATTTCAAACTTCATAACAAATAATGCAACTTTTCCAAACACTGTCTTCTACTTTTATGGACTCTTGTTTCTTCTCAATATTCTGACACTTCACAAATGTGTAGATTATTAAATAAGCAGGCAGTTTAAGACATTCAGTGATGACTCTGTATGTCCACAGACTGTAACTGTATTAAAGGGCACATTTTCAGCAACCACCTCCACTTTTGCAGTGCTATTTGTTGGGGGATTTTGGAGCACCCTATGTAAGATGCTTCACAGACATACAGAAAAGTTCCTAGTCTCAATAGTCAAGAGCCTAAGCAAGCAAACAACCCCCCCCCCCAAAGATTGGTTTCAGAGTAGAGCCGTGTTAGTCTGTATCAGCAAAAAGAACAGGAGTACTTGTGGCACCTTAAAGACCAACAAATTTATTTGAGGAGAAAGAATGTAATATAACCCTATTATGTAGCCCTGATACAGCACTTTTTATCCATAGATCATAAAGTGCTTTATACAATTGAAGAAGGATTTAGCTCTGTTTTACACATAGGGAAATTGAGGCACTGAAAACTTAAGTCCTGCACAAGGTAACAGAGTTGAGTCAATGACAGTGTCAGAAATAGATCCCAGGTCTCCTAACTCACTGTCTTTTATCTTGTCAACTGGACAATTTTGTATTGTGCAAAGACTGAGTAGTTAGAACGTTTCAAATATTTTGAACTGAGAGCGCTAACTCTTGGTCTGGTCCATTATAGACACAGTAGAACTAGTAAAAACTTTCTAACCAGTAAAAACTTTTAAAGTGCTCTCACTGTATATTTGTCACACAACTTGTCAGGTCTGTGGTTTTATTTATTTTATATATTTATTTATTTATTTAGGTACTCTAGCATTTTTTAACACTGAACTGTAATGTGAGCTAAATTAAAAGATTAGAAAGTGAAACTTAAAAATGGGGTTAACTGTTAGTTTGGCAGCTAACTGTGCCCATTGTCTATTTTGCCTGCACAATGTACACATTTGTACATGCAGGTCTTATACCCAGTTTTCTCATTTGCATTAGAAAATAGCTGTACTTGGAAAAATAGTTGTATGCATAAAAGTGAGTGCTTAAAATTGGAGTCTGTGGCTGAAAATTTGGCCCTATATGTTTCTTCTGAGATTGGCATAGTCAATCTCAATTCCACTATACTACGTTGTGTTTGTGGAATTGAGTTTCATGCATATAAGGAGAGCAGAATGTCAACCAAGATTTTCTGTGTGGCTCTAAGATGATAAATTTTTCTTTTGGATAGGAAACTATTTTAAAGAAAACTTCATGAAACTGCAGACTTAACAATGTGCAGCCTAATAGGTGAGCCAGTCTTCAGTAGAAAAAGGACGTTACGTTTGTCTTCACAGTTCTCTTGAATTCTGTCATACTAGGGTGTGCTAGAATATTAATTTCACAAATCTTCATCTGCTGTGATAAACCAGGTGTCTATATCTTGCCTTTACACTTTGAAAAGTCACTGAATGAGGAACATGTCTCATCTTGGATGAACTGCAAAATTAAAGATGGGCCTGAACCAAGCCCTTGATTCAAACACCCCCAGCTCTAGACAAAGTTGGGATCCAAATGCAATTTACATTTTGGGACACAGACCCATTACTGTGTGAAATGCAACTGAAAATTATTTTTGAGGTAAAATTGGCATGTCTTAGCCTACTGCTGGCAAACATAGTGATGTCATTTGTGACATGTCAGCTGAAATGGTAGAAAGGTAGTTTCTGTTCTGTTTTAATGTAAAAATTGTGCTGTGTGAAAATGAAATATCTGTTCAAAATTAAACATTAAAATTGTTCTAATGTTGAGGTACACAGAGAACTACAAGATCATCCATTAATTATGATGTTGGGTATTATATAGAAATATGTGTAATACCAAATAATGTTAATTTTCAGCCTCTAAATTCATTCCCCATATCATTAGTGTCCCAAAAGTTGCCAGCAACAGGCTCACAAATGTCAATCAAAAATAAAAGCATTATTTTCACGTACGTGTCCCAGATCATACATGTAGATAAGTGCTTATTAGCAGCTGAACTTTGAGTGCTTTTTTTTTTAAGTACACCTTTCTTTTAAAATTACTGAGAGCAAATAAGGAAATCTAGAAATACTGAAACTCTGAGCACAGTCCTAGATTAATAATTCAATATATATGTTAAAGATGATCAACTTTTGTTGGTGTGTGCATGTTCACAAAAAATAAAATGTAACAGGATAGAGATTAAAATACAATTGTTATAAAAATTCATACATCCTCCAAACATTTAAAAGTGAACAGGACAGTATTCCTAAATAGGGGATTTGCCAGTCTGGTTTGATTTTTTCCCCTGATTGGAAATATGACTGTATTGACTATATAACCAACATCTATTTGAAATAGGAACTGAATATAGGGCAAGTAATTAAAAATAAAAACCTACAAAAAAGAGAATTCTTCAAATCAGTTTATGAAATATACAATACATAATTTGCAAAACCATGCTTCAAAAATTGTAATCCATACAAAAATGTTTTTTAAAAACATAAATATTACTGGTATACATGTAACTCACTTTATATTTTATGTTAAGGAGATTTAGAACTTGATAATGATTAACACAAATTATGGCAGCTTTTTAAAATGTTGCAGAAAAGAACCTGTTCTATTTATACTGTAAAATGCCCACTTAAAAAACTGCATAGCCTCCCTGATGTGAACTGAATATGAATAGACCAGATGGGGTACATAGGTACCTGTATAACAATACACCTCTATTACATCGAAAGTAGTAAATACTAGCTCTTTGTGGACAGAGGTTATCCATATATTGTAAACTCAGTTCAGGAAAACTCTCATAGCAGAAGAATCTCCTACACTGACTCAGCTGTGGTGAGGCTAACAGGACATTTTCACAAAGAAGAACAAGTATGTGCAGTAACCATAACTTTGTTTCAAGAACTGAATGACTGATTTAACCAAATCTACAATTACATCCATCACTACAATTTTCATTATTAAAAAAGATCATGTAACTAGGAAAGTCCTGTTGAAAAGACCAATCTTATACATTGGAGCGCTATTCTGCCCTAGCTTATGTTCAGCATATCTCAGATTTTCTGCTCTTTGAATGAGTGTCTTTAGCACTGTGATAGGCTGTCCAAAATTACATTATTTAGCACTTATATAGTCCTGTCCTTCAAACCCCTTTTCCATCATCATGATCTGATTTCCAGCATTTGAGTAAGTGCGCATTTGCACCTTTGTGCATACGTGGCTAGATACTGTAGGTGAGCTTTCAACCAAGTGTGTATGCATGCAGTTTGCGTGCATATGTTCAGATGTGTGCAGGCAAAGTATGGAGACAGCAAACTGGGCCCTTAATCACAATCCTCACAATGTGAGGTAGGTAGAAATGCATAGAAATTCTGGGCTAGATGGATAAGTTTCAAGTCTTCTTTCCTTGAATAAAAATTAAACAATTCTGTCTTAAGAAAACAAGAGTACATAAATGTAAAGGTGCTCCAGAGTTTTATACATTAGGTCTGTGTTCTGCATCTCTATTTTATAGCATCAGACTCTCCAGCCCGTTACTCTGCTTTGAGGTGCTCCAGTGGAACAAAGCATATTTAAACCTGGCTTAACTGTGTACTTGAATGCTCCAAGGTACCTAAACCACTCACCTTCCTGCCCCACAGTGAAGGAGGCACATAGGCTCAGGATCATCCTGGCTGATCACTAGCTGCTAGAACAGACCCTATGGGCTGTTGGCAACCGATGTAAAATAGAGCAGCCTAAAGTCTGGGGACTAGGGCAAAGCTCCAGGATCGGAGAGCCACAGCGATGGTTTAACATCATATTTGCTTACCCATCCCAACCCCTGACTTGCATCAAACACGGCATGGCTGGTTGGAAGGATATGGACCAGAGTATCAGAGATCGCCAGGTTCACCCTGTACTGGCAGTGTAATTGCCAAATGAAGAAATTGTTCAAGAACAGTTTGTCAAGTATGTTAAGGACAAACAGGCTTTTCTTCAGTATCACTTACTTGTGTCTTCTCTTTCCATCCAAACACATCAAACCCTTTAGGTTCTTTTGTAAGAAAACTCCATGCCTTCTTCTGTCCCTGTTAGCGTCTCCTCATAGTGACAGTAAGAGACTAGCTTCAGGTCTTTGTTTGCCATTGCAGTTAAGGCAATTGGCAGACTTTATTACTCTTCCAGCAGTGGTCCTGATCAGGGTGGAGGAATTTGAATGTGTCAATCTGTTATACCAATAAAATAAAAACCAGCAGGATCTTATTAAAGGGGAAAAGGCAAAATGCCACATTTATTGTGAATACAGAAAGAATCATAGTAAGCAGTTATAGCTATAACATTCCATTCAATTTCATATTTATTCACACATTCATTCATACACACACACACAGGTTCTGCAAGGTTGTTATCATAGTTACCAGCCTTAGAGTTGCTCATGCCAAGCCACTGGCCAGGTGGCCTGGACATGAGGAGGGAGCAGGGCCTTGTCAGATGCTCCTGGAAGTTGGTTTGCAGAATCAGACCCCAAAGTTCTCACTTTCTAGAGTCCATTTTTATAGGAATTGCTTCATCATGCTGTTGCTGAATCAATCAGCAGATGGCACATTCCTGATGGCTCTGTGCTGCCAGATGTTATCTTGTTCTTTGGTTCTCCCATTCTTGAGGCTGTTGGGTGGATTCCAGTCTGCCCTCCGGGGGGTCCTCTGGTTATTTCCACTTGACGCCTTCTTCAGCCGATGGACACTGGATTGTTAGGCTGGCACCCCCCTGATCATTCAGTTATTATCCACACCAAGCATCCATCCGCATACATCCTCTATCTCTATTTTAATCACAATTGTTAACAAAGCTAGATGAATACAACAAAAGGGCAGGGAGTCTCTGGGTGCTGTTTCTGTTGTTACAGAGTATTGCTTTGAGTCTCTCTCTATGTGAGTAGTTGTTGTTACAAAGAATTGCTTTGAGAACAGACTCTTAGAATGTACTAATGCAATTAGCAGCTTGCAAGTTTTACCTCCACGATGATTGCAGACTTGGGTCTTTTAGATGTTAAGAATATTCATTCTTTTCTTTTTCAGTTTGGTAACCATTGTATGTGAATGTGTCACTCCAGAAGCAAACAGGGCTCTATTTCTAGTTTCCCTTGTATGGTACATAACAGTATCAGAAATGGAGATTTTGCTAGGTAGGGTTTTTTTTGGTGGTCTCACCTCAAAATGAAATTTCCTTTCAATTCGTAATGACAGAGTTGTGTAGTTTTATTTTTTGAAATAGAACTGGGTAGCATTCATCACCAGAGTATATGTCTAAGGAAAGCGAAATATTCGGCCTAAACAGGTGGACTGTGGACACACATACTATATCAATTTTCAGCTCACCTATATTCCTCCTTATGTAAGACTTCTTTAGGCCACCTTTATCTGTTTCTTAATAGTTATGTAAAATCATTCAATATTATGAAATACTACCATATAATAAGTACCCGACTCGTTTTTTGATTATTTTTCTTCTTAAATATCACTTTCTTTCTGTGTAGCTTTTTGTTTTAAGGCTACTTGCCACAAAGCTCCTATTTCTGCTCAGATCCATTAAGGTCCCTTTGTATAACCTGTGGAACTTAAATGACACACAAAATATTTGTCCCAGAAGCATAGCCTTGCAGACAGGGAGTTATGTTCACCAACCAGAAAGTTATTTCAGCCTGCTAGAGACAGGACTGGAAGAGAGCCTCTTGGTAGGGATTGACATTGCAAAAAAAAAATCAGGATTTATTTCCCTTTGCCATCTGTTGGTAGGATGATGCAATATTTGCAGTCTGGGCTGGAGAAACTGTCATTAAAAATGTATAACTGAAATTATGTACATCTGTACTTTTGACAATGAAGGTCCAGCTTTTGCTTTGTTTTAATGTTATCGAAGTAAATATTAGATATTTATTTTGAACTTCTAGTGCTCAGTTTTAAAAACTGGTCGCACTCATTTTGCACTTGCAGTTTTATACTCATAAATAATTGTGAGCAGAATTAATTGTAGGTGCACATAATGGCATTTAGGTATCTACATACCCACAAAAATCAAGTAGTTGAGCATTTAAATAATATAATTTGGGTTCATGAAGGGTACACCTGCTGTCCTCTAGATAAGCAAAATGGAAGGCTGGCTTGAGACCCTTAAAAGATTTTGCCCTTAAAGTGAAAAATATATTTTGTTTTTTTACAACACAATTCTGGACTAACAAACACCTATTGATGATGGCATTCTGTTGAATTGAAATGCTAATGTTAAAGAGCTGCACACAAGAAGACACTGGTGAATGATCCTGTGCAAATGTTTTAATGGTTCTTTCTAAGATCTTTTCAGCATAAGCATAATCTGAACAATCACTGCTTAATGTTTTGTATCAAAGACATTTTTAAATGGCTGGATCACAATAAACAATAATTGTTAGACAGCCTGAGAGGCTGAAACAATGTGAAACATCTTTCACTGAATGTTTACAATGCAACATAAAAAGGTAATGATGGTTTTCCTCCGATCTTTCATCCCATTCTTGTTCCTCAGTTTTCTAGCTGTACAGTAACTTGATATTAAGTTGAGTACAGTTCCTGTCTGTATGCACTTCACTGAAAGGTGCTCAGAATTCTGCATTTACAGAAAAACTCTGAATAGCTTGACAATTTCTTAAATACAGTACAAAATATTGTCACACTTAAACTTTTGACATCTATTTTGGCATAGACTTAACAGAACCAGTTTGATATATGAAATATAGATTTATTTCCCCAACTCTTATTAATGGGTATTGTTTTTACATAAGATGCTTTGTTTAAAAATCTTCATTTTAGAGCTTACCATGGCCAAAATATATAATATCACACAAAATGCTATGTTCCTGAAAGGAAATTACTCTCTCAAAAGACTCCATTCCAAAATCAGAGTTTTTGTTTCCTTACAAATTTTCTAGGAAGAGAATTCTTGTGGAGTTGGATATCTTTTTATGCTAGTAAGTATTTTAGTTATTGCACCATTAAACATGGCTAGAAATGAGCTATAGAAATGTAAGGCAATGATCTCTCCCTGTGTGATTTCCCCCTTTATCTTTAAGAGTGGGAGTACAGATGTTGCTGCTTGATCAATTTTTCTTGACAATTTCTAGTGTTCATTTGGTGATGTTATTCAAAGTTTTACATATAAGCAGGACTTCATTACAGGCCAAGCAGTATGTGAAAAGTCAGTCCAGAATCAGCTTTTTTAATGAGAGGGTCTAGAATATTATTGATCCTCTGTTTGAAATTAACTTACTTGTTTCTTACAAGTTGCTTGACAAACCTTTGTGTAAATGAGGTATTGCAATTTAATTCTTAAGCCAAATGTGCTCTGTTTAAAACCACATCTTCCACCCCCCCACCCCCCCCACCCCCACTGTATACCTAAGAAAATAAGGCATCTTAGAGGAAGTTCAAGTTTTTCCAAAGATAATTAGATCAACCAATTACTTCATGTCAGAGAAATTCTGTCAAAATGTACATGGTCATTGGGTGGATTGAGTCAAAATAATATATTACAGTGTAGAGCCCTAAACCCTCAAACATTTATGTACGTGTCTTCAGTGGGACTTCACACATGCTTAACTTTCAGCGTGAATGCAAGTATTTACAGAATTGCGCCCTATTTACTAACTCTTATGTTGTTAGTAATGCTCCAAACATCTACACTAAGTCCCAGAAGTGAATTGGATTTCCAAGTGTACTGCCCTATATATTGTTTTATAAAATACCTTGTGTACAAAATGTTTAAATATGTGGATTAAGTTTCACAAGTATATTTTTAAGATTTAAGTTAAAAAGTTAGTCTGGCCTTTTTAGCCTACACATGCAATTAAATATACTGTATCTTTAGTCTATGATGCCCTAGTTACTGCTTAGTCTGTGATGAAAACTTTGCTGCTTACCTAATGTCCTCAGAGAAAAACTGTAAAAGATCCAAAGATTTGTTGCATTTGACATACTGCAGCAAAGCTTTGTATTTGACTACTGGTAATATGAATGTGTTGTATTGACTTGTTGAAGATAATCATGAAACAACATATTTTAAATGTTACTTGCCTTATAGATTAGGATACAAATATGTGGATATCATTTTTGTAAATAATGTTTTTTATAAATATCTTTCCTTCATGATATTTCCCAATGACCATTTCACAAAATCCTGAATATGCAATTATTTACCGTATAGACTATTACAACAAATAAGGTCCCAATTCCAGAACAAGTTTATTAATTCTATACATAAGAACAAAATTAAGTACCTGATTAAGTTGTAATTTAAATGTGACTTTTTTTTTCTTGAAAATAAATGAGAAACATTAAAATACTCTATTTTTTTGTTTTGGATCAGTTTCCAAATGTAGTATTTGCAATGTTATTACCACAAGTTTAAACATATGACAATGAATCAGAATTGTCTGCTGTTATCCTTGGCACCATAAATAATGAATAATGCTTTCCCCTGTCAAAACATTTATATGGTTTTATTTTAGTCATTTTTGCTAATTTAGTGCTGGAGAAAGGTAAGGATCCTTAGCACTGCCCTGTGTCTTACATATATTATAGGTAGTGATCATGCAATCAGATGTGTGTGATAGTTTTTGGTAATGTGCTGTTTGTTAATACCAATGTATATGTAGCATTTATAAATGTTTAACATTTATCATATGCATGTGGACTTGATTTTGAGGTAAGTGTGCCACTAATGTGTAAATAACTCGTATTCAGGAAGGATATTATGGTGTTTATATTATGGATAAGGCTACGTTTTAGTCACGGGCAATAAATAAAAAAAAAATCTGTGCACTGCCTCTGCCAAGAGTGCCAGCTCCGCAGCTCCCATTGGCTGGGCACCACGGCCAATGGGAGCTGTGAGGGTGGCGCCTACAGGTGAAAGCAGTGCACAGAACTGCCTAGCCAGGCCTCCACCTAGGACCTGAGGGAGGGGGATGTCACCACATCCGGGGAGCCCCCCCGAAGTAAACGCCGCCCAGAGCCCTCTCCCTGTCCCATGCCCCAACCCCCTCCCCCCTCCCATGCCCAAACTCCTGCTGCTGCTGGGGGAGAGGGGCACGGTGGCCTGAGACCGTCCCAGCAGCGGCCGGTGCAACTGGCCAAGGGGCTGCCTGAGCTGCTCAGATGGCCTCTGGGCCAGGTGCACAGGCTGCTGCAGAAGTCAGAGGTCACGGAATCAGTGACTTCCATGACAAACTAGCAGCCTTAATCATGAAGTAATGACTCCATAGTTAAGTTTGAATTTTGCACTTAACAGAGACTGAGTCCCTGATTTGTGTGTGAAAAATACAGCGCTCCCACCTCCCCCGCAAAAAATACAGCACTTACTCTTTTTGAGTACAAAATGAATTTTCTTCTCAGAATTCACAAGCAACTCAACTAGCTTTAGGAATTAAAATTATTTAAAAATGAGTCCTTCATGAAATTTATCACCCAGCATCAGACCAGTTTTCCCCATACTGTTCTCAGTAACAGAATAACACACTCTTCATTAAAAAGAAAAGGAGTACTTGTGGCACCTTAGAGACTAACCAATTTATTTGAGCATGAGCTTTCGTGAGCTACAGCTCACTTCATGCTCAAATAAATTGGTTAGTCTCTAAGGTGCCACAAGTACTCCTTTTCTTTTTGCGAATACAGACTAACACGGCTGTTCCTCTGAACACTCTTCATTCAATCTTTCCATGTAGTTCAAACTCATTGGAAACTTGTACATGAGCTACATTTGAATATTTGTTTAGAGTTATTGGTCATTTTTTCCCACTCTTCATAACTGAAAGTTTCTCCTGCATCAGGGGTTCCTGCTCTACTCCTGAAGTGTCCTGCAGCACTTGTAAGGGTAGATTGCTAGTCTGTGTGGTGTTGGCATATAGGGGTGTCACTGAGGACAGGATTAAGGTTGCAGTGTGGGGGTAGTATGTATCTTAACTTGGTATGTCATGGTTTTCAGATATTTAAGTATGTGTTACCTTAACTCGTTGTTTCCCAATTTTCAGAAGCTTAAGTTTAGCCATTCCCCACATTCTGGAAGAGTACAAGGCAGCACTGGGCAACCTTAACTCTGTGTTAATGATGTTTCTGGGCCATTAATTTCCTTCTTTTTGTTTTTTAAATATTTTCTCAGCATTCTTCTCTTCCACCGGCCAACTCTGCCCCTAAACTCCCTCAGGCTCCTTGGGAATGATTACTCCAGCTAGAGAATGCACTTGGCTGGAGTAGTCTCCTCACTGCCTGTCCAACTTTTTCCTGCACTGCTCTGACCTCCCCTTTATCATAGAAACAGCAGCAGTGGAGGAAAAGGGAGAGCTAGATCCCGCTCCATCTGCTTAGTGGAGCACTCATGGAGATGAACTGTTAGGGATGAGGGGTATTTGTAGGAAAAGGTGGGAGGGAAGGGCAGGAGGGTTTAGATGGCTCCACTTCCTCTCCCCCAGCTAGTATGTCACTGCAGAGGAAGATGCCCAACTTTCCCTCTGCTGTCACCACTTCTGAGCTTCCATAACATAAAAGGGCCCTTTGATGATGATCTGAAAAAATGACATTTTTGAAAACCCAGCTCTTCATTAAAGCTCTAGTTATCAAACAGGGTTTCTGAAATTCCTTATATTATTGAGGGGCATTATCTGAGGGTGTGCTGCCCTCTCAGAACTCAGCATCTGTGCCAGCACACAGCACAGAGGGGCAAAAGTTGACAAAGGGGCAGCAGTACCCCCCTATATCCTTCCAAACCCCCTTTACTGTTCCAGTGCCCCCCATACTTCCTTCACTGCTAATTCCTCTGCCATGCCCATTGCTTTTGACCACTCCACATCCACTGCTACTGAGAGCCCATTCACCCCAATACCAGTCACATACCCGGTCCCCCCTCCTCCTTGCCTGGTAAAGTTGGAGGGATTAGGGGGAGGAGGGAATTTGGTGGTGCTGTGAGGAGTTCATGTATCAGCTAGACCAGGGGTGGGCAAACTTTTTGGCTTAAGGGCCGCATCGGGGTTGCGAAACTGTATGGAGGGCCAGGTAGGTAAGGCTGTGCCTCCGCAAACAGGTTGGCCCCTGCCCCATCCGCCCCCTGACTGCCCCCCTCAGGACTCCCAACCCATCCAACTCCCCCTTCTCCCCTGACCACCCCCTCCCGGGACCCCCTAACCAACTCCCTGGGACCTCACTCCCATCTAACCCCCCCGGCCCCTGACTGCCCCTACCTCTATCCACACCCTCACCCCCTGACAGGCCCCCCAGGACTCCAACACCTATTAAACTGCCCCCTGCTCCCCGTCCCCTGACTGCCCCCCGGGACCTCCTGCCCCTTATCTCATCACCTCTCCCTGCCCCCTTACCATGCCACTCAGAGCAGCAGGATTGGCTTATTGGAAAGCCTGTGAGGTGGGCGGGCGCAAGCCATGCTACCCACGTGGGAGGGGGAACAGCAGGGGCGCTAGCCTTCCCAGCCGGGAGCTCAAGGCCGGGTAGGATGGTCCTGCGGGCCGGATGTGGCCCACGGGCTGTAGTTTGCCTACCTCTGAGCTAAACGCAGGACAGTTTGGCTAATATGTGGAGAAGAGGCTATGCACTTCACTTTCAGCACAGGAAGTTCAGAGTTATGAAGTAGACCATTAATTTCAGAGAGAGATTCTCAGCTGAATCAGAAAAATGCAACTAGAAGTACTAAAGCTTTTGTAATGCAACAACTCTTTAAATACTTCTAAACTGGTCCTTGTTACTGTTCAATATTTGATCTTGGGACAGTCCATGCTATAAATTTCACACTTAAAAATTATATTGAGCTAGCTGCATCTATACTAGGGGTCAGGTCAAACCAACTACAGAGCTCAAGGTGTGGAATTTTTCACGGCCCTTGGCAATGTAGCTAGGTCAATCTAATTTTTAAGTGTAGAACAGTTGATAGGGTTTTTCCCCCCTATCTCTGCACCAAAAAAAGTTATTAGAATCTGAAAATGTTATGAGAGCATCTTATTTAAGGGGTGATTGAACAAATGACCCTAACTCTTCAGCACACACCTCTCCTTAGGAATACTGCTTTTCAGGAGCAGTTTGATTATTAAAATCAACTCCTTAGCGGGAGACTATATCTGAGGAACCCCGTAATCAACAGACCCCCCACCAACTTTTGTACCGCTACCACCACCCCCATGACAATTTTTTATGGTGTTTGCCATTTCCTTCAGACGCCTTTTCACAGAAACTACAGTGCTGTGAGGGAAGAAACTGATGTTTGACCCTTTTGTTTTGTGTATAGAATGAATTCTGGAAACTGAAATTTGTTTTATTTTCCATGATAAACTTAAGTTACTGCTTTGACTGAAGACAGTATGCTAGCTCAGTATTAGTCAATGTTGCTGGCTCCTATAGTCTTCCATCTTCCTTCTATTTGATGGTTTCAGAGTAGCAGCCATGTTAGTTTGTATTCGCAAAAAGAAAAGGAGTCCTTGTGGCACCTTAGAGACTAACAAATGTATCTGAGCATAAGCTTTCATGAGCTACAGCATGCATCCAATGAAGTGAGCTGTAGCTCACAAAAGCTTATGCTCAGATAAATTTGTTAGTCTCTAAGGTGCCACAAGTACTCCTTTTCTTCTATTTAATGTTATTTTCTTTGACAGTACTTCTAAAGTAAAATTGTTGTATGCATGTCATGCCTGACCAACCTGATTGCCTTCTATGATGAGATAACTGGCTCTGTGGATATGGGGAAAGTGGTGGACGTGATATATCTTGACTTTAGCAAAGCTTTTGATACGGTCTCCACAGTATTCTTGCCAGCTAGTTAAAAAAGTATGGATTAGATGAATGGCCTCTAAGGTGAATAGAAAGCTGGCTAGATTGTCAGGCTCAACAGGTAGTGATCAACAGCTCGATGTCTAGTTGGCAGCTGGTATCAAGCGGAGTGCCCCAGGGATCGGTCCTGGGGCCGGTTTTGTTCAACATATTTATTAATGATCTGGATGATGGGATGGATTGCACCCTCAGCAAGTTCACAGATGACACTAAGCTGAGGGGAGAGGTAGATACACTAGTGGGTAGGGATAGGGTCTAGAGTGACCTAGACAAATTGGAGGATTGGACCAAAAGAAATCTGATGAGGTTCAACAAGAAAAAGTGCCGAGTTCTGCACTTAGGCCGGAAGAATCCCATGCACCATTACAGGCTGGGGACTGACTGGCTAAGCAGCAGTTCTACAGAAAAGGACCTGGGGATTACAGTGGATGAGAAGCTGGATATGAGTCAGCAGTGTGCCCTTGTTGCCAGGGAGGCTAACGGCATATTGGGCTGCATTACTGGGAGCATTGCCAGCAGATCGAGGGAAGTGATTATTCCCCTCTATTCAGCACTGGTGAGGCCACACCTGGAGTATTGTGTCCAGTTTTGGTCCGCCCACTACCAGAGAGTAGTCCAACAGAGGGCAATGAAAATGATCAGGGGGCTGGGGCACATGACTTATGAGGAGAAGCTGAGGGAACTGGGCTTGTTTAGTCTGCAGAAAAGAAAAGTGAGGAGGGATTTGATAGCAGCCTTCAACTACCTGAAGGGTGGTTCCAAAGAGGATGGAGCTTGGCTGTTCTCAGTGGTGGCAGATGACAGAACAAGGAGTAATGGTCTCAAGTTGCAGTGGGGGAGGTCTAGGTTGGATATTAGGAAACACTATTTCACTAGGAGGGTGGTGAAGCACTGGAATGGGTTACCTCAGGAGGTGGTGGAATCTCCATCCTTAAAAACCATTAAGGCCTGGCTTGACAAAGCCCTGGCTGGGATGATTTAGTTGGGGATTGGTCCTGCTTTGAGCAGGGGGTTGGACTAGATGACCTCCTGAGGACTTTTCCAACCCTAATATTCTATAATTCTATGTGGATTTTAGAGCACTTTGAAGTATCATCTCTTAAACCAGAAAAAGCTTTGCTCTCTCAGGGCAAAACTTGTAAAAGGTGCCCTGGGGGAATAGCACGCAGACAGCAAATAATGTTAATTCATAAAGCAATTAACTGTTACTTGTAAAAATTAACTTTGTGCTCAAAGAGCATGTTTGCTGTAGTTTGGGGGGAGGATGTGCTTTATTTTTCATATATAGCAAAGAATTTGTATCTTTGCTACCTTCAACATGCAGGGCTGTAACATACACATTTACATGTGTGGTGTAAGGAGGTGGGAAGCATGAGATTGTAATTAAAGTTATGTGTAAAGAAGATGGTGCTACAGTAGGGCCAGTCTTCAAGGCAGCTCTACCTTCACCTCACCCAAACTGCGAGCTAAGGCCTGGTCTAGGCTACACAGGGTGACCTCAGGTAGTGGACCTAATTATACCAATATACACACTACAGCCTTGCTCCTGAAGATGTAAGTGCCCTACTACACCAACAATAACTCCACCTCCACCAGAGGCTTGCAGGAGTAATCAATTATTTTTTGTCAAGATATAGTCAAGGTCTAGACTCCAGAGTAGATGATAAAGAAACAACGATAAATAAATAAAAAGATTTGGGGGTCCATTCAAAGATAGCTGGCGGTCTGGCTTTGGCCTGTGGTCTGTCTCTTGACCACCCCTGTGGCATAGGACTTATGTCGCTGTAGTTAGGATGACCCAGTGTCTCTGTAGATACTCCCTTCCTTACATCAGCTGTTGGCTGTCTTGTCAATTTCACAGCTCCAGCAGAGCCCTGAAAGTGATAAGAAAGCCAGGCTCAGGGCTCCCGCAGCCAGGCTGCTGCTGGGTGTCCACTCCAAGCCAGGCTGCCACCCCAGCTCACAGCTTGGGCTGCCGGCCCATCTGTGCTCAATGCTAGGAGCCCTACTGCCGGCAGGGGCCCTGGCTTCATGCTGGGAGCCTGGCTGCTGACTGGACTCTGGGTGGGAATCTTCCTGCGGGAGGCAAGAAGCCCCAGGCTGGGATGTGAAGGCGCGAATCCAGGGGGCAGCTGGGGTCCCCGGGGAGCTGGGGGGGAGCTGAGAGTCCTGGCGGTTCCTTGCAGCAGGAGAAGGCCGGGAGGGAGCCCGCCAGCCACAGAGCACGGCGGCCCCTGCCAGGGCTCCACGGGCGCCCTTCCGCGCCCGACAGACCCTCTCGCCGAGGGCGTCGCCGTGTCCAGGGCGGCCTGCGGAGAGAAACTGGGGAGCGGGAGGGGAGACGGCGCGGGGCCCGGCTCTCCTTCCCCGGCTCGCGCGGCTGGGCGCTCACGGTCACTGCGCCCCCGCCCCGAACCTCCCCAGGCCGGACCCGCCTGAGGCGGGGGGAGGCGGGGGCCCGGGCCGCAGGGTGTGTGTGTGGCGGGTCACTCCAGAAGCCCCGCCCCCTCCCCCTGCTGCCATCCAATCAGAAGCAGAAGGGGGCGAGCCGAGCCGAGCCGAGCCGGCCCGGCTAGAACCCGGCTCGCGCACGCTGCCCCCGCCTCGCTGGCCGCGGTGAGCCCCTCTCCGCGCCGTCTGGGCCGGGCGCAGGGTGGGAGCCGCCCCCGGCAGAGGAGGGGGGGCGTGTTTGGCCGTAACCTTGGAAACCAGCCGCCGCCGCCGCCGCTTCTTTGGCAAGGGGCACTTCGGCTGCGGGTGGGGGTGAGTGCGGGGCTGGGTCGGGGGCGGTTCGGCGGAGGGGAGCTGGGGGTGTGGCCGGGTTAGCTGGCCTGGGGCGTGCCGCTGGGTGGGAAGCAGGGCAGTGGGCTGACATCTTATCCGCAAACTCAAAACAGAGGTATCATTTTCTAGTCAATGATGCCCCAGTTCAGTTGTTTCTGGTAGGGTACGTGGAACAAACTTTAGGCCAAGGGTTACTAGTTCACTATGGTATTGTAAAATCTCCTTTGGGCCGATCAGTTTTCGACAGCGCACAGAGCTCCGTATACTTGGTTTGCTAAAATATGTATACTGTTGCTACAGCCACCTGTCTGTTTCAGGGTCTCCATCATTCTGTATAAATTCTCAGATTTAATAGGCATGTCGGACATAGCTAAGGATAAGGCAGCGCGCCTGTTAAAGAAAAGAGGCAGCGTATCCTCTCTAAGCAGCCATGAAGTCAGAGCAAAAGAAATCCTTGGAAAAAACAAAGAGTAAGTAATTTTTCTAATTTGGATTATAAAATCATGTAAGGAAAATGTTGCCTTGAGAAATAAAAAGGGTAATGGATGAGGGGATGCTTTGAATCTAACTCCTGTTTCTGAAGCACTATGAGAAAGCTTCTTTACATGGTAATTAAAAAGGAAAAATGTTCTGTCATTCAAGCATCACTGTAAGAGTGCTTTTTCTCCTCATGATTACTTCACTAAATCTGAGGAACCCATAAATGTTCGGGACCCCTTTAGTCTAAACCAACAGTCATAAGCAACAAATTTAATGTTGGTTGATGTGATTGTTTTGGGGATTACTTGAAGAAGAACTAGTTCTTGGTCATGGTAAAGGTCCATCCTTAGCCCCATGTCTCATCTTGAGAGGCCCAACAAGCTGCTTAATGCTCTGGCTCCAATCCAGCAAAACACTTTAAGGATATGAGTAGTCCCACTGAAGTCAGTAGGATTACTCACATTCTAAAGTTAAGCAAGTGCTTAAATGTTTGGATCAGGGCCTGCATGCTGAGATCAAGCCCATGGAGAGTACCCATTTAAAAATGTTCATTGTAACTGGGTGACTTCTTGTTTTTGCCTGGGTGAGGGAGGAACTTCTTAGAGGCTTAAATTATTTTTTTTAAAGATATTCATGTTTATAGCTCCCTCTTAAAAACCTTTCCCTCTACCACCTTTAAAGGGAAGGGAAAAGTTCATATTTGGGATATCCCTCTTCTAATTAATCCTTTGGATGTGCATTCTGAGCACAGCTTCTGTTTTCAAAACTAATGTGCATTTAAGAAAAAAACAGTTTGAATTTGCTATCTGTGACAGGTTGAGTAAAGCAAAACAATCGCTTTTAAACATTAATTTGGTTTTACTATAGCAAACACAGTAATGAAGCCCAGAATTTAGAATGGATTTAGAATTTAGATTGCAGTGTTTCTCCAGTCACTTTCATAAATGCATCTGATGGCTGATAGATTACATCTGATGGCATCTGTCGGAGATTGAACCAGGAACCTCCAGAGCGAAAATCATGAACTCAAGGGTGGAGGCTATAACAACTCATATCCCCCATGGATTGGCACAGAGGGGAAGCAATAACACATTTGCTAGTGGGTTCCATTTGGAACCAGAAGGTAGATTTCATCGGACTCCTTGTGAAATATTCTAGAGTATTCCTTTTTTAGGGGACATCTCAGTCCACAGACTTGTTTGGCAGTAGTTTGGATACAAAGAAGAATGACAAACTATTTACCAAAATTATATTTTGTAAAGCTGTAGTTTAAGGTGAATTTTGCCTGTTTCTTATACTGCACCCAATTCTGTGGTATCAGAGTTCCTATCAGATTGATTTTTACTTATCTCCATCCCACTCCCCCACCATCCTACTTAAAATTGAGTAGTTGGCCACCGAGCTGCTTCTAAATTCTGGGCTTCATTACTGTATTTCTGTTATAGTAAAACCAAATTAAAGTTTAAAAGTTATCATTTTGCTTTACTCTGCTCAACCCCATGCAGCTAGAAAATTCAATTTTTTTTTCTTAAATGCACATTACTTTCCAAAACAGAAGCTCTGTTTTGAATGCAGTTTGGCAAATTAATGCATTATGTTCTTTGAAAACAGTTAACCTTACAAGAAAGAGCAGATATTTTGCTTCCACTACTCTTTAGTGTTTAACTGGGTGTGATGATGTGTCCCACTGAGTGGCAGCATATTTCTTGAGCGCCTAATGTCCTGAGAAAAGGCATTCTTAACTGGTCCCATTTTGACATAAATAAGTCCAAAAATTATTTTAACATTTTCTGAGAGAAAAAGCTGTGTGTCTGTACCATCTAAAATTTTGCAATTTATTTTTATCAACATAGTTTTCAATATACACTCGTTTATACAGTCACTTTTTGAATTATTTTTAGCTCCATGAGTACAGTGTCTTATATGGATGAACCTGGCCATGATATTCCTCGTCTTGCCATTCAATTGGAGAACACTTATCAGCTGGGTATGGAACACTTCCTCCTCCATCTCACACTAAAAAAAATAAGCTCAATACAGGTGATTGGGTGAAATTTAATAGTCTGTGATATATTTGTTAAATTAATTGCTCTAATGATCCCTTCTGGTCTTAAACGCTATGAATCCAAAATGTAAACTGTATAACTCAGATATTGCCTAAATGGAGAAACAGTCAAAATGTAGTCAGTTTTGAAAAGAATTCAAACTACTGTCATTTCTATTAATACATTTGCCCCTGAGTCCTCTTTACCAGTTTTTGTGGTTTTACAATCACCTCTCCCTGTTCTTAAAAAACAAAAACCAAAAAAAACCCACCACATCACACCTTTCCTTGCTGTGTAAAAAACCTACAGGGGAAAAACACTGAAATAGACTAGATGCCAAATTGCAGTTAAATGCATCAAGTTATCAAATTAACAATCTAAAATTCAGAGAAAAATGTTTTTCTCTAAACTTTCAGTTATTATAATATTAGGTGCAATCTGGAACAATTGTAAGTTGAAAATTTTCAGGGAGAAGTGGGATTTTGAAGTTGATAGTTTCTCTTTAAGATAACTTTCTTTCATCAAGAGTGCTTCTCTTAATTTGTATACTGGGAGGCATAGTAATTTATCTGTTTAATTTATTTATATTGAGGTAATACTAAGGGCTCCAGATCAGGGCCGCTCTGAGGTAGGTACTGTACAAACTCATAACAAAAAGACTGTCCCTGCCCAAAATTGTTATGGTCATAATGACTCCCAATAAAATAGCTTTATCATAATAGAGTCTCAGCACGAGAGAATATTGGGGATCAACATTTGTCTTAGTTTAGAATCGAAAACCGCATGATGTATATTTTGACTGAAAACAAAATTTAGTTGTCTAAAGTTTGGCGTGTGTAAGGTACTACTAATCCAGATAATAGCAAGAAAAGGAGTTTATCCTTTTTGGCCAAAGGTATAGGAGCAATCAGTTTACAGCATGGTAGATGGATAAAGCTTGTCCACTTCATGTCCTTAGAGCTGGGTGGAAAACAGTTTTCCCATCCCAGTAAGATATTTGAGATTTTTTAAAAAAAAAATCCCATTTTGAATTGGGACAAAAAATTGCAACCTTGAAAGCTTTCATGAATTGATAAACCAAAAAAGATTTCAGTTTAGGTCAAAATTTTGTTTTGATAATTTCAAATTGTTTGTTAAATTTCAACACCTTTTCATTTTTAATCTTTTACTTCTTTTTTGATTCCCATCCATCAGCTCAACAGCAATGATGCGCTAAATGAAGTCTTTTCTCCACTTTCTATCTTGAACAAAGCTATGAAGCTGGTACATCTTTAAACATTTTTGTTCTGTCATTTTTCATTGCATTTATCCAATGCATCCTCGGTCTTCCTCTTTCTAGTTCCATGCACGCTGGTATTTATTGCCATGTATGGTATCCTTTCTGAGTCCATTCTTGATATGTGTGCAAACCATCACAGTTGTTTTTCTTGAGTCTTCTGTACGTGTTATATCATGCCCTAGCTGTTTTCTTCTCCATTTTTCATTTTCTGCAGTCTTGAAGCTCCGTATTCCTCTCAGCCAGTTCATTTCTACAGTGTAAAATCTTTTGTCCTTCAGATTTCCTCATATACCAGCATTCCAATCTGTATAGCAAGTGTCAGCATGACCATTGTCTCATATACGTTGAGTTTTGTTTTTATCAAAAAGTCTTTAGCCTTCCAGATCTTTCAGTTTTTCAAATGCAGTAGTGGCTAGTCCAATTCTTGTTTTTATGTCATCTTCACAATTCCCATTCTCTGATACTCTTTCCCATTCTACCTTGTCAGTTATTCTCTGTAAATCCTCCTTAGTCAATTCTGGGAGGTCCATGTCATCTGTGAATCTAAGACTCCTCCCTTTTCGTCTTTCAGTGCTACAGCCATTACTGCTTCCAGTACCAAGTAAAACAAATCTGGTGATAGCATGCACTCCTGTTCTCGTGCTGAACCATTCCATCAATTTCTTGTCTGTTCTCACTGCACTCATTGATTTTCTGTAGATGTTTTCTATCTGCTTGATCAATTTTGGGGGGCTGCTATATGTTGTCATAACTTGCCATAACCCTTTCTGCTAAATGAAAAGCCTCTTTGAAGTCTATACAGTTGTAGTAACAGGTTCAGTTGTGTTCTGTGTATTTCTTTATTTGTTTTATCACAAATAACTGATCTGTTGCACTTCGATCTGGTCTAAATCCAGCCTGTTCCTCCGCAAGTGCCATTTCCTCCTCTTTCTCTTCTCTAACCTCTTGGGTGAATGCTTTCCCTGGTGCTATTTTATTGTAACTAACTTAAATGTTTCAAAACGGGAAACTGCAAATTTTCGTTTCTAACATTTGAAACAGAACATTTGATCAATTTTGAAACTTCTTGTTCCAGTCAAGAAACTTACTGAAACTGACCTTTTCCTGCAAACAGTTTCAGTGAGGACTAATCAAAATTTTTCAGTGGGAAGATGGTTTGCTGAAAAATTCCTGACTAGCTGTACATGGCCCACTTGTAGATCTTGCAAATTATCTTCCTGTAAGGCAATCTTTTCTACTGAGACTTATGCATAAGAATGTACTTAGAACACTTTATAGGACCAAACAAGTGTACGTTTCTGCCACACAACTGCGTGATCCACAACCACATTTTCCCAAGGAGATGATAGAGTACGATTGAACTTCGAGGCAAATGAGCTATTCTGCTGCCTATAGTACTTCCAATACTTTGAAGGGTATTACATCCCCATTCAACAGATTTCAGCGTGCAAGAGGTATAACAACCTGTAGGTATTTTTTGTGTGCACCTTAGTTGGTTAACATCAAAAAACACTCAGATACTATGGAAAAGAGGTTAAAAAAACCTTAGATCAAAATAAACCTAAAAAGGAATTGTGGGGAAGGGGTCACAAGGTTATTGTAGGGACAGTTGCGGTACTGCTGCCCTTACTTCTGGGCTGCTGCTGGCGACGGCGCTGCCTTCAGAGCTGGACAGCTGGCCAGGAGCCAGCAGCAGCGTAGAGGTAAGGAAGGCATGGTATGGTATTGCCACCTTTACTTCTGCACTGCTGCCTGTAGAGCTGGGCCCTTAATCAGCAGCTGCCACTCTCCAGCTGCCCAGCTTTGAAGGCAGAAGTGCAAAACTAAGGGTGGCATGGTACGGTATTGCCACCCCTTACTTCTGCACTGCTGCTGGCAGGACGCTGCCTTCAGAGATGGGCGTCTGGCTAACAGGTGCCGCTCTCCAGCTGCCCACCTCTGAAGGCAGCACAGAAGTAAGGATGGCAATACCATGACCCTCCTAAAATAACCTTCTGACCCCCACCCCCCACAACTCCCTTTTGAGTCAGGACCCCCAGTTTGAGAAACGCTGGTCTCCCCTGTGAAATCTGTATAGTACAGGGTAAAAGCACACACAAGACCAAATTTTATTGTGGGAGACCAAATAGCATGGTCCGTGATGCATTTTTCATGGCTGTGAATTTGGTAGGGCCCTAGTCTTAGCATTTGTTTCAAGTGATTGTTAGCAGATCACAACTAGCCATATATTTATTCTCCAATTAGAGAGATCCATTGATATCTTACATTGTCCTTCTTGTTTTACATGTCAGTTTAATATTTTGGTAAAAATTCTGGAGGGGAATGAGAACAAACACGGAATCTCATTAAAAATTCCCAAAGTGCTACAAACCTTAACTTGTTTATACTTAATTTCCTGGTAAATCTATTACAAACTTGTAGTTAAAGAGAAAAAATATGATTTTGAAGGTGCTTTATTTTCCAGTAATAAAAATTACTCTTTCTCTGTTTAATTTGTCGGTGAATTGATATTCTTGAAATGCAATATTGTAATAGCACTGGCTAGAACCAGAGATGTTGTGCAAAGTTAAACGAAGCACCTCAGTCTTGATCTTTAGCATCCCTCCTGTTTCAATTCTGGGTCTCTTTTAAATAGACTTAACCCCATACCGAATTGTGTGGTAGCTTTATAATATGAGATCATAAAAATATTTTTAGTTTCCACCTGATCCAGGATTTGAATTCAGGTCTCCAGAGAGACACCTAACTAGTGTACTAGTTCACTGTTCTAGTTAACCCCCTTTCTTTGGTCATTTTGATTAGTCTGGTTAAAAAAGCAGTTTACAATGTGTGTTCAGTTATTCTCAACATGGACTTATAAATTAAAGCACTATAAAATATCTACATATACCAGGTCCTGCAAAACGTTTTCCTGTGGTCACAGTAAATAATATTTTGAAGGATGTGCTGACTAATTATCTTCAAGAAGAAAAATATGAAGCAGAGCTATGCAGACAAATGACAAAGACCATCTCTGAGGTATAAAAAATAAATTATTAGTACAATTAGGCATTTTAAGTAAACTATGGATCAGATTCACCCCCTTCTCAAATCCATGCATTGAGGGGTCTTTCATGCACAGTCTCCCCACTTTCTCTGGTAGACCTTTTTCTGTATGTCTGGGGTATGCACTGGGGAGGGGAACATGATTTGTCAGGCTTGTGACAAGTGGGTGGGCCAGAGACTGCATATCATCCTTCTTCTGGTCCTCAAAATTTACCCAGAAAATGGAACAGTCCCAGGCTGTTGTAACTTTTGTGCATAGCCCCCTGGATGGTCACAGGGGCTCCTGTGGCCAATGGGGAGTGGTTCCATTTAACTTGTCCTCCCAAGGAACCATGTGAGTGGGCATTAGGTGTACCAGAGGCAATGTGGGAGAATTTTGCTAGCTCTCCTTCTGTGGATCCCCAGCCAGATTTTGGGATAGGCAAACCCTGTACCCCTGACAGAACAATGCCTCTGATCTTTTTCCTTTTAAAATCTCCTTTCCTTGGCTTTTCATGTCAGAAGAGACAATATTAGTAAGTAGAATATAGGGCTTAGGAAAATTTAAACGAGTGAACTAAAGGTTTGAAGTTAAAATCTATTAAATCCCTGTGTGGATGCTCTCATTTACAAGTTAAGTGGCCTCAGTTCACTGTAGCTTAATCCTCCAGAAACAACCAAAATAGCCCCTTAGTGATACTTCTGCATTTGTGCTGTTGCAAATTCTGCTTGGTAACACATGTGCAAGTCTTCAGTGAGTTTGCTTAGGTGTACTAGAGTGGAACTTGGGTATCATCAACAGATTTGTTTGAGAGAGAATAGCATGTGCAACTTATTCTTTTAGCAAAGATGGATCTGTAAAGCTAACAGAAGTAAAAGGCAGTAAAAACTTACGTGTTTGGGTATTTTTGTTTGGTTGGTTTTATACATTTTAGTCAACATAACAGATCATCTCCATATGTATATTCAGTTAAGAGTGAAGGTGCCATCTTTTTCATAGACAGTTTTCATATTTGAACTGTGCTTTGCTCTCTCTAACTAATCAAGAAGATGCCACCACTTTTTAGAATGCAACTCCTGAAGTTAATCCTTTGGGGATATGGCATTTCCAAGAACTGATATCACTATCATCAGTGTTGAAAATACTGATTCATTGGTGCTGTAACCTCAGTCTGACATATTCCACCCTCTAATGGTACTGGAATACTTACAGGATGATGTTGCAGGTCTATAGTTAGGTGATTACCAACAAGATTCTTGAAAATGTTTAGTAATACTATACATAACATGTTTATACTTACTGTATCAATGCAGTGATTTTTACCTGTGAACCTACTGTAGAAAGAATAATTTATCTGAACATGTTTCTCTGTTATAGGTTATTAAGGCTCGGGTAAAAGACCTTATGATACCAAGGTACAAAATTATTGTGATTGTACATATTGGACAACTAAATGAACAGAGCATGCGAATTGGAAGCAGATGCGTTTGGGATCCTGCAAGTGATACATTTTCATCGTATGTTTTCAAAAATACCTCACTATTTGCTCTTGCAAATGTCTATGCTGTTTATTTTGAATAATGAAAAGCTCTAGTTTATTAGTGGAAGAAAAATATCTAACTTATCGTGTTTATATTGTAGAAAAACTGTTAGAAGACAGGTTTCAGTGGTAGCCGTGTTAGTCTGTATCAGCAAAAAAAAATGAGGCGTCCTTGTGACACCTTAGAGACTAACAAATTTATTTGGGCATAAGCTTTCTTGGGCTAGAACCCACTTCATCAGATGTATGAAGTAAAAGATACAGGAGCAGGTATAAATACATGAAAGGATGTGGGTTGCTTTACCAAGTGTTAGGTCAGTCTAACGAGATAAATCAATTAACAGCAGGATACCAAGGGAGGAGAAATAACTTTTGAAGTGGTAAGAGAGTGGCCCATTACAGACAGTTGACAAGAAGGAGTGAGTAACAGTACGGGAAAAATTAGTGTTGGGGAAATTAAGTTTAGGTTTTGTAATGACCCAGCCACTCCCAGTCTTTATTCAGGCCTAATCTGATGGTATCTAGTTTGCAAATTAATTCCAGTTCTGCAGCTTCACATTGGAGTCTGTTTTAGAAGGTTTTTTTGTTGAAGAATTGCCTCTTTGAGGTCTGTTATTGAGTGACCAGAGAGATTGAAGTGTTCTCCTACTCGTTTTTGAATGTTATGATTCCTGATGTCAGATTTGTGTCCATTTATTCTTTTGCGTAGAGACTGTCTGGTTTGACCAATGTACATGGCAGAGGGGCATTGCTGGCACATGATGGCATATATCACATTGGTAGATGTGCAGGTGAACGAGCCCTGGATGGTGTGGCTGATGTCGTTAGGTCCTCTGATGGTGTCCCCTGAATAGATATGTGGACAGAGTTGGCACCAGGGTTTGTAGCATGGTTTGTTCCCTGGGTTGGTGTTTTTGTTGTGTGGTATGTAGTTGCTGGTGAGTATTTGCTTCACGTTGGGGGGCTGTCTGTAAGCGAGGACTGGCTTGTCTCCCAAGGTCTGTGAGAGTGAGGGGTTGTCCTTCAGGATAGGTTGTAGATCTTTGATGATGCACTGGAGAGGTTTTAGTTGGGGGCTGTAGGTGATGGCTAGTGGCGTTCTGTTACTTTCTTTGTTGGGCCTGTCTTGTAGTAGGTGACTTCTGGGTACTCTTCTGGCTCTGTCAGTCTGTTTCTTCGCTTCACCAGTGAAGTCTGTAATGGGCCACTCTCTTACCACTTCAAAAGTTATTTCTCCTCCCTTGGTATCCTGCTGTTAATTGATTTATCTCGTTAGACTGACCTAACACTTGGTAAAGCAACCCACATCCTTTCATGTATTTATACCTGCTCCTGTATCTTTTACTTCATACATCTGATGAAGTGGGTTCTAGCCCATAAAAGCTTATGCCCCAAAAAATTTGTTCCTCTCTAAGGTGCCACAAGGACTCCTCGTTTGTTTTTTTCTTTTGTTAGAAGACAGTCAGCTTACATTTGTTTTAAAAAGGGTGAAATAAGCCTTTCAGTGGTAAATGTAATAATCATGCACACTTAAACCATTTTCTACTCTTGCTACTTTCCACAGGAAATGATTCATACTAAAATGACATTTTGCAGTTGACTCTAATTGTTCTTTAGAACCACATATCACTGTATTAGCTTGTATCATTATTTGTTTTTGTTTTTCAATGAGAGGATTTTGGCTCTTAACTAGTAAGCTCTGAGGAAAATCTAGATAAATATCATGACAGATAATAACAGTTCATTATGTTTAGAAATGTTTTATTGGACTGTAAGCAGCAATGTGTCTAATCTGTGGTATGTATATGAAATTCCATTTCTATTTTACTTATAATAAAATCAATTAGTTAAAACTGCACTGTGCAAGACTTGGAATTAATGTTTTTAATTAAGGTGGTTTTATTTCTTTATAGTTTCTGGATTAATACAGAAATCCTGTTAAATCCTTGTCTACTCACCTTTATCTTTTAGGCTGTGTTTACACTACAGACCTTACAGTGGCACAGCTACAGCCATACCAGCCATGCCACTGTTAGGTCTCCTCTGTGTAGCCATTCTATGCCGGCAGGAGAGAGCTCTCCTAGTGGCGTAATTAAGCCACCCACAACAGGCAACGTTCGCCATGTGGACAGGAGGAGCCTTTCCTGCCGACATAGCGCTGTCCACACCAGCACTCTTGCCGGTGAAACTTATGTCAGTCAGGGGTGTTTGGTTTTTTTCACACCCCTGACCAAGAAAAGGTTTACCAACAAAAGTGGTAGTGTCGACAAAGCCTTAGTTTCACAAAAGGCTTAAACTGTGCTATCTGTTTTGCTCCTTGTCATTTGTATACCTACAAATACACACCTTGAAAACAGTTGATAAATTACCCAGAAAAATTGAGATGACAACTTCAGAATAGAAGAGGAAACACTTTTGTTTAAATTGCATAAGAAATTTGACATATTGCCAGATATCATTTTCTGCTCAGATGTACCAAGTGATTTTTAATTGTTACATCAGGGTACCACTAAGGCAGAGCATGAGGTCATTTTAAATGCTGAAACCAGAATATATAGATATTAGGGATATGTGCTGCCTGGATTCACTTATGGAATCCCCATTGATACAAAAAGAGTTGTGGACAAAGATGGAATTTATACCTCATACAAAACCCTTCATATTACATTTCTTTGGGCTAGGTTCCAAACTTCTGGTATAGGGAGATACAGCATCCTTGCACCATAAAACCCTTTTCTTTTGGCTCTTGGGGACTCTTCCTGAAGGGTAGCAGGAGATGCTTCCACTCAGGGTAACTTTACCTCACAGAGAATATTGAATTGGCACACTCCCCAAAGTCATCACAATGCCTTCTTCCCAGTGAGCACTGCCTATTCTCCTTCCTCTCCTCTGACAAGTCCTTATAAACTGGCATACGTTCTGGGTGAAGCTATCTTTGTCCTCAAATATTTGTGTCCTCCTTTCTCCCCCGCCCTCCAACCAAATAAATCGTATGAGAGTACTCTTGTATTACAGATGAGTCTGAACTCTCTTATATACTTCTCTGAATCTAACATAGCGTGGTACAATAAATCCCCTTTTTATTTATTATTGGATGCATGTGCTGTCAGGGAGGTTCTCTTAGAATGTTATTTGTGTAGTATTTGGAAGCCAGAATGTTGCAGTTTAGAACCTCTAGCTATTCCTGCTAAGTCCTGTAATATTTGGTTTTGTATTACTTTAAACTCTTTCTTTTCTATTTGAAGAAATGTGGAGGAAGGGGGAGAAAAGTAGGAAATGAAGTTATAGGAATTAACACTGTCTGATCCCTGTTAATGCTATCCAGATCTATGTCATAAGAGCTCTGATAAACTAGCTCTTAGGCACAGGGAGTTGTGGAGCACAGAATCCAGTGGAGGTCATTTGGATGCATGTTTTCACACCCATAACCCCCAAGTAGATGGGTAAAGCCCAATTAGTTTGTTTGATTTTGCAGGGGTGGGGTTGTGACTGGTTCGGTCACAGAGATCCCCTTGGGACTATCACCTGATGTGCTGAGATTACCTCTGAGCCCGTTTTCCGTGCCAGCTTGGGACTCCGGAACCTGCCTTGTTGAGCCACATACGATAGCCTGCTGCAACACAGACGCAGGTCTGGTCCACACCCCCAAAGCTGCAGACTTTTCAGAAAACTAGCTTAGCAGGTTACCTGCCGCCAGCACCCAGACACCCAGCTCCCAATGTGATCCAAACCCCAAATAAATCGTTTTAATCTGTATAAAGCTTATACAGGGTAAACTCATAAATTGTCTGCTCTCTATAATACTGATAGAGAGAGATGCGCAGCTGTTTGCTCCCCCAGGTATTAATCACTTACTCTGGGTTCATAAATAAGATCACTTTTGTTTATTAAGTATAAAAAGTAGGATTTAAGTGGTTTCAAGTAATAACAGACAGAACAAAGTAAGTCACCAAGCAAAAACACGGAAGTCTAAGCCTAATACATTAAGAAACTGATTACAGGTAATGTCTCACCCTCAGAGATATTCTAATAAGCTTCTTTCACAGACTAGACTCCTTCCTAGTCTGGGCCCAATCCTTTCCCCTGGTACAGTCCTTGTTAGTTCCAGCAGACATCTAAGGTGTTAAGCAGGGGCTTTCTCATGACTGGCTGCTCCCTCTGTTCTGCACCACCCCTTTTTATAGCTTTGGCACAAGGCAGGAATCTTTTGTCTCTCTGGGTCCCCACCCCTCCTCTTAAATGGAAAAGTACCGGATTTAAGATGGATTTCATTAGCAGGTGACATGGTCACATGTCACTGTAAGACCCCAGCCTCCATTCTTCTTGAGCAAGTAAACAGAGCCATTTACAGTTAATTAATTCTGAAGCACCCTTAATGGCTTCTACTTAATATGTTTACATCAGTAACACAAGTTTATATCTTATTATATCTTCAGACATAGAAATAATACCTGCAAACAAATAGGATGAACACACTCAGTAGATTATAAGCTTTGTAATGATAACTTACAAGAGACCTTTTGCATAAAGCATATTCCAGTTACATCATATTCACATTCATAAGCATATTTTCATAAAGCATATGGAGTGCAACCTCACAGGGTTGTGGGAGGAGGAGGGGAGAAATGGCCTTATATGGTATGCAGGTCAATTTCACTTGATTAAGTCCACCTTCCACACAGCTTGCATTTTAGATCTGTGCACTTCAGAGACCTGTGGATATATTGAATGGATTAGATCATATTCATGCACATATCACTCCCATAATAAGCTTACCCAAGAATTTTCATGGAAGATCACAATATATCATGATTCCAAGCAGGTCTGTTTGGGTTTTAATTTTATAGTAGAAGGAAAATATGTAGAACATAGGTTTTAAATTAAGTGACTTTCTAAAGCATCAAAAATAAATCTCTCTTGGCATTTGAGAAAAATTGAGCTGGTTTCTATTTGTTTTTATACATAGAGCCATGTGGGTTTATAGTTAATGTTCTATCAGAAGTAGCTATGGTTTAGCAAAAGTGAAAATAGCACAGCCGCATCTGTAATATGAACCAACCGGTTTTAATGTTAAATAAATATAGCTTTACAACATAAAAAAAATCATATACTGCAGTTATATTTAACTGTAAATATATATATATATATCCCACTACCCAGATATGGCAGGGGATTCAGTTTTATCTTGTAGTAGAGTGTCCAGGCCCTAACTTTTACAGCACTGAAATGTCTTGTTGCTTAAC